CAACAGACATCAGCAACATCAACAGACAGGCACTAGCAACATCAGCAACATCAGCAGACAGGCACTAGTAACATCAAAAGACAGGCACTAGCAACATCAGCAACATCAGCAACATCAGCAGCATCAGCAACATCAGCAACATCAGCAGACAGGCACTAGCAACATCAGCAACATCAACAGACATCAGCAACATCAACAGACAGGCACTAGCAACATCAGCAACATCAGCAGACAGGCACTAGCAACATCAGCAACATCAGCAGACATCAGCAACATCAGCAACATCAACAGACAGGCACTAGCAACATCATCAACATCAGCAGACATCAGCAACATCAGCAGACAGGCACTAGCAACATTAGCAGACATCAGCAACATCAGCAACATCAGCAACATATGCAGACAGGCACTAGCAACATCAACAGACAGGCACTAGCAACATCAGCAACATCAGCAGACATCAGCAACATCAACAGACAGGCACTAGCAACATCAGCAGACATCAGCAACATCAGCAACATCAGCAGACAGGCACTAGCAACATCAACAGACAGGCACTAGCAACATCAGCAACATCAGCAGACAGGCACTAGCAACATCAACAGACAGGCACTAGCAACATCAGCAACATCAACAGACAGGCACTAGCAACATCAGCAACATCAGCAGACAGGCACTAGCAACATCAGCAACATCAGCAGACAGGCACTAGCAACATCAGCAGACATCAGCAACATCAGCAACATCAGCAACATCAGCAACATCAGCAACATCAGCAACATCAGCAACATCAGCAACATCAGCAACATCAGCAACATCAACAATATCAGCAACATCAGCAACATCAGCAACATCAACAATATCAGCAACATCAGCAACATCAACAACATCAGCAGACAGGCACTAGCAACATCAGCAGACATCAGCAACATCAGCAACATCAGCAACATCAGCAACATCAGCAACATCAGCAACATCAGCAACATCAGCAACATCAGCAACATCAACAACATCAACAACATCAGCAGAGAGGCACTAGCAACATCAGCAACATCAGCAACATCAGCAACATCAGCAACATCAACAATATCAGCAACATCAGCAACATCAGCAACATCAACAACATCAGCAACATCAGCAACATCAACAACATCAACAACATCAGCAGACAGGCACTAGCAACATCAGCAACATCAGCAGACAGGCACTAGCAACATCAACAGACAGGCACTAGCAACATCAGCAACATCAACAGAGAGGCACTAGCAACATCAGCAACATCAGCAGACAGGCACTAGCAACATCAGCAGACATCAGCAACATCAGCAGACATCGGCGACATCAGCAACATCAGCAGACAGGCACTAGCAACATCAAAAGACAGGCACTAGCAACATCAGCAACATCAGCAACATCAGCAGCATCAGCAACATCAGCAACATCAGCAGACAGGCACTAGCAACATCAGCAACATCAACAGACATCAGCAACATCAACAGACAGGCACTAGCAACATCAGCAACATCAGCAGACAGGCACTAGCAACATCATCAACATCAGCAGACATCAGCATCATCAGCAGACAGGCACTAGCAACATCAGCAGACATCAGCAACATCAGCAACATCAGCAACATCAGCAGACATCAGCAACATCAGCAACATCAACAACATATGCAGACAGGCACTAGCAACATCAACAGACAGGCACTAGCAACATCAGCAACATCAGCAGACATCAGCAACATCAGCAGACAGGCACTAGCAACATCAGCAGACATCAGTAACATCAGCAACATCAGCAACATCAGCAGACAGGCACTAGCAACATCAACAGACAGGCACTAGCAACATCAGCAACATCAGCAGACAGGCACTAGCAACATCAACAGACAGGCACTAGCAACATCAGCAACATCAGCAGACAGGCACTAGCAACATCAACAGACAGGCACTAGCAACATCAGCAACATCAACAGACAGGCACTAGCAACACTAGCAGACAGGCACTAGCAACATCAGCAACATCAGCAGACAGGCACTAGCAACATCAGCAACATCAGCAACATCAGCAACATCAGCAGACATCATCAACATCAGCAGACATCAGCAACATCAGCAGACATCAGCAACATCAGCAATCAGCAACATCAGCAGACAGGCACTAGCAACATCAGCAACATCAGCAGACATCAGCAACATCAGCAGACATCAGCAACATCAGCAACATCAGCAACATCAGCAATATCAGCAACATCAGCAGACAGGCACTAGCAACATCAGCAGACATCAGCAACATCAGCAACATTTAGCAGGCAGGCACTTGCAATGTCTATTAAATTTCTATTTTCTATTCTTGAATTTCTATTAAAACGTCGATTTTTTTTCCAAAACCTTGCCTTAACTTTGTCAACATCAATTCCCATTACAATTAATTAAAACAGTTTTCTAAATCGCGAGGTAACGGCTTAAATTTGTTTTCTAACATTGATTTTTTTATAATGCAAAAGTGTGACGTCGCACCATCTGCACACCCTGCCCTCCCCTTCATCACACACCGTCACACCCCTTTTTTTCGAGTGTGACGTCATTCCTGGACATTTGTATCCCAAGTTTCCTATAATTATTTTCAAACGAAGGCATTTTTTTTGCGCGATCTCATTCCGATGCAATTATTCAGAGTTATCTGCCCCTGACCGGAAGTAGGAAGTCAAAGCCTGTCATCATCCCGTCAGTTGTGAGACGGCAGTTTAGGCAAGATGTGAGGCATTAGAGGGTTGGTGCTGGGTCATGTCGTGGTGTCTTGGTGATGTGGTGTTGGTGAATGGTGTGTTGTTGAATGGTGTGTAGTGTGATTTTGAATGCTGTGTGGTGTGTTGGTGAATGGTGTGTTGGTGAATGTTGTGTGATGTGTTGTTGGATGGTGTGTTGGTGAATGTTGTGTGGTGTGTTGGTGAATGGTGTGTGGTGTGTTGTTGAATGTTGTGTAGTGTGTTGTTGAATGGTGTGTGGTGTGTTGGTGAATGGTGTGTGGTGTGTTGGTGAATGTTGTGTGGTATGTTAGTGAATGTTGTGTGGTGTGTTGGTGAATCTTGTGTGGTGTGTTGGCGAATGGTGTGTGGTGTGTTCTTGAATGGTGCGTGGTGTGTTGGTGAATGTTGTGTGGTGTGTTGGTGAATGTTGTGTGGTGTGTTGGTGAATCTTGTGTGGTGTGTTGGTGAATGGTGTGTGGTGTGTTGTTGTATTGAAAACTTTAGTTTGTGTTGTGGTGAAAAGTGTGGTGTGTGTTGTGTTGATAAGTTTAATGTGTTGTGTATGAGTTGGAGATGTACGTGGCTGCAAAAGTGGATAAACATCAACGAACTAAAGTCAAGCTACAACTCACAAAATCGTTCCACCGACTCTAGCGAAGAGGACCAATGCTTCACCAAAAACCCTGTTGTGAGGCGATGACTACAGGTTACTTATGCCAACTATTTCTTGAGACATCTATCAACCCACTACAATAACCCAAACACTAACCAGTCCTGCTTAACATACGACTTAACAGATCTCTTTACAATAAGTATTATCTTGGCTATAACCTCTGGCGTTTCAAGATCCCCCCCCCCCCCCCCACCTATTAAAGCATCCAGATGAATGTGAAATTAAAACATTGGAACTAGAATTTTTCAGACATCGCCATTGTGCGTAGCTAAATTAAATCAGGAAAAGGTAAGCACATTTCGATTTTAATTTTTTTAGACACCACTTGAAAAGCTGGATAGGATTAAAATATATAAATGCCAGTATTGTTTTATTTCGTTCTCATTTCTACTTTTTAAATAACATAAATTCACAGAAGTAAACAGAAAAATCCCATTTTAAAAGCGTTCGCTTCAAATCATTTAATAGAACTGGTCTCTCGTTCGCTCTCTCTTTCTAAAATATTTACTCTTGTTTAGTTTTGGTTTTAATGTCCCTCAGGGTACATAAGAATAAAAACCAAAAAGAAATTGAATGCGAAAGAAATGGCGCGCGGTTTACACATATTTTTTTTACTAACAAAAACAAACTTTAATTTATACAATATTTTAAGCAGACTAAAAACTGAACAAGGGGTATGCCGTGGACTCTAAAGTAAAAAATAAAACAAACGTACCTAGACTTAACATTTAACATACGATTTGTGGTTTTTTTTCTTAGGTATGTAAAAAAAATGTTTTATCAAATATTCATCTACGTAATTAGAGCAGTACTAGCCACTAAGGAAAAAATTACGAGAGCATTCAACACGAAGTCAAGAAGGAGTAGAAGACATAGTACAGTCCATAGTACAGTCTTGTCGATAAAATAGTTGACGTATTTTGTTTCGTACAGCTTTTGTATTTTCACCACAAAAAATCAAATATTCTTAATAAGATGTTAATTTTATCAAATATGTCCCTACTTCTTGAGCAACCCACCATAATTTCCATCAACCTCTCGAATAGAAAACATTCTTATACATTCAACAAATACCACCCCTACACTATCTCCAAACACCCCTCAGTCTCGTAGCGGGGGGGGGGGGGTGGGGGGGGGGGGTGCGGACCGGGTGACACCATTTAAGGGGGTGACACCAAGGCAAAAAAATAGCAAAATATATAGAGAAAAATGATAATTCCACTTAATTAAATGATTCATTCGAGTGTTAAAAAGTTTTTTAAGAGCAAATTTGACAAATCCCGAGAAGGGTGGAGGGGAGGGTGCAAATTGAAAGTTTGAGGAGGGGGGTTGCAAATCGAAAGTTTGGAAAGTTTGTCCTCCGGCGCCGGTAAGGGTCGCTATGCCTCTGGGGGGGTGACACCATTAAGTGCCGCACCGGGTGACACCCGACCTCCCTACGCCACTGCCACCCCTACACAATCATCAAACACCATTACCACAAAACCAATAAACACATCCGTGCACTAGTAAAAGATAACTTTCAGACAGTTCGTTGACATGTAAAATGGCTCAAACACTAAATCTTCACATTTTTATTGGAATATAGTCTCCAGTTAGTTCAATTAACATAATATCGTACACAGTTTCTCATGGATGTACACATTATGTACCACAATCTACGATGAACGATACATCATACATCGCAATATACAATACAATCGACACAAATACAATATACAAAACACATACAATCTTGTGTACAAATTATTGTGATCTTCTATGCTTCTATCTTGTCACGTGGATGTTGATGACGAAAATGGTTGCTATTTATCTAAGCTCGTGAAATACTTGAATTTAAACCACAGCCAATTCACCTAGCTATGAAGGACGTGAGTGTTAACAACAAATACAACAGACAAGGCTTGAATGACATGAATTTAACCACAACCACATAATACATGTTATAAAATGACGTGAATTGAACAACAACCACATTATACATGTTATAAAATGACGTGAATTGAACCACAACCACATTAAAGCAAGCCATACATTCAAACAACTACAACAGACAACTACTCAAATATCACGCAATGCTAAGCTAAACTTTGACAGACTGCTGGATAACGTATGACAGACCAGGAAAGACATGTCAGATTGCTGGATCACGTATGACAGACGAGGACACACAGTTCAGATCTGACATGCACAGCCTCGCCAGACGTGAACATACCACGCTCACGTCATCAGCAGAAACATTTAAAAACGTGTCACGTCATTATAACATAAAAAGACGAAACTCCAAAAAAATTAAATGAGCCGAGCTAGGGGCGGTAACTGTGTCTGCTCAAAGCTCAGTGTGGATGTGGGTGTGTTTGGCGGGCTGTTCGAGGACGACTTCCTTCATCTTCTGCTCCTTGGCTTTCTTCTCCGCCTTCTCTTTTTTCTTCTGCTCGTCCTTGAAGTCCCGCTCGGCTTGACGGAAGAAGAGGTACACGTTCTTCTGTCGCTTCAAGGATTCTTCAGCTTTGGTCTTGGTGTCTGAGGAGTTAGACATACATCATTAAGCATTGATTACGTCAGGATATTTTGGTCTAGAAACACGTCCTAAATACTGCAATGTTCAGAGTGCATTATGGAAAGGTGTGGCCAATGGGTAAAGCGGATTTTTGAAAGTCTTGATTTATTTAGCTCACCCTTAGGTTATCAATGATTTCATCTAAACTTGGGAGGGGGGGGGGGGGGGGGGAACCGGACTCAGCCAGAAAAAACGTAAATTAAATACCGCTCAGAAAAAACAAAATATAATTTGTTTCTATTCACATGTTGAGCCATTTGAGACGGGGCACAAGTGTTTTATTATTATCTACATAATTTAATTAGGGTAATGAAAGGATATTTTATTATATATACACAATAAATAAAATACACAATCAGTTTTCTCTTTGTTAGTGTAGGCGTAGAATCGGTGCCATGGTGGGGAAAAAAATCAGAGACTGAGATGGACAAAAAAATTGTACAAAATTGGTCTACTCTAGTTCATGTCGTAGAGAAAAAGGGGAAAAAAATCAGAAACACAATCAGAAACACAATCAGAAACACAATCAGAAACACAATCAGAAACACAATAATGAACACAATCAGAAACAATCAGAAACAATCAGAAAAACGATCATGAACAAAATCAGAAACACAATCATGAACACAATCAGAAACACAATAATGAACACAATCAGCAACACAATAATGAACACAATCATGAACACAATCAGAAACACAATAATGAACACAATCAGCAACACAATAATGAACACAATCAGAAACACAATCAGAAACACAATAATGAACACAATCAGAAACACAATAATGAACACAATCAGAAACACAATCAGAAACACAATCAGAAACACAATTAGAAACACAATCAGAAACACAATTAGAAACACAATCAGAAACACAATCGGAAACACAATAATGAACACAATAATGAACACAATCAGAAACACAATAATGAACACAATCAGAAGCACAATCAGGAACACAATCAGAAACACAATCAGAAACACAATCAGAAACACAATCAGGAACACAATCAGAAACACAATCAGGAACACACTCATTCAAACAAAGCCACCAATAAGCTGATGAAGTTGACAAGACGAGTAGAGACTACGTGACCACATGAAAGATGGGGCGGGTGAAATCTTTTGGGATGAGATCGGATCATGTCAGTCTTGATGGTCTTACACGACAAACAGCAGAAGGGAGGGGGGGAGGAACCTGGGGGGTTGTTGTCAATTCAACGGTTTAACATGATATGTGTTTAGATCCAACCACAACAAGCACATACATGTCTTGTACTTAAACACTCTCGTATTTGTCATATATGTGTGTGGTGTACAGTGTAGGAGCTATTAACATTTCTTTTGTTTCTAAAAAAAAGTTTGAACTTATCCGATTTTTATTATCCAAAGAGTTGCATGCTACTCAAGAGTTGCAGATTAACCGCCCTTGTCATAGAGCTATTTGCAGGGATGATTGAAGTTAAATCTATTCAACGTGAATTCTGTAGGTTTACCGCCCTTGACATAGTGCTATTTGCACTTAAAAATTAAGCATGAACCGAATTTTTTTTCATTTAATAAGCCTACTTTAACAGTTACTAGCATGCAGCATACTTTATTTTAAAACCCGAATGTTAGTGCCTTAATATTTTTTGACAGTGACTTAAATACGGCCATTTTATCAGACACTCTCCCCTTCGACAACATTTCTAAATTATTAAATGTTTAGTAATTAAGACTTAAGAAAGCAAAAACCATTGATATAACACTAGATTTGTATGGTAAGTTATCACAAAGCTTAGTCATTGCTTTCTTTAACTACTCATATAAACCGTATACTATACACCATCAGAGTTTCTTCCAGGCATCTCTGCCTTCCCCCCACCCCGAACGAAATGGAATTTATATAGAAAATATATACTTTTAACAGTGTCCGCCCCCCCCCACCTGGAAATTTTAGTACGCCCCCCCCCCCCCACCAATTTTTTTTAGTGCCCTCCCCCCTCGGAGAAACACTGTAGCCTACACCATACATAAAAAAAAATCAACAGCCGTTCCACACCCGATCATATTCCCTTATAGCCCCCACCCCTCATCTTACTCTATATACTTAGAACTTACATTTATACCTACCGCCCCCCCCCCCTCCCCCACCTATTGGACTGGTACCCCACCCCTGTGCCGCCATGCTTTCCTCTACAATGCCATGTTTGTCTACCAGAACATGCCGAGGGCAGATGTCAAGAACACACGCCATCTTGTATGACCCCTGCACTCTACTCCTCGCGTGACCCTCGCCCCATCTCACGTGACCATCATGTGATACCTCACTGTGGTGCGTGTCGCAGTGGTAATAAAAGTTATACCCTGCTTAGAGATTTTAAAGTGCATTCATCTATCTCTGAATAACATCCTTTAACCAAAACATGCTTTGCTTATTCGTTATATTATCATTATTTTATCATCATTTGACAAAAATCATCTTCCGTTATTATTCTATTCTTTGTCAAATCACCCTATTCTCAGATTATCTTCTGTTGTCAAAATATCAACATATGCTAGAATATCACACTCTATCACAATATCAACGTTTTTTTTTCAAAATATCATCACGTCTTAAAAGCATAACATATGCATACACTAACTCACACACACATATATATATATATATATATATATATATATATATATATATATATATATATATATATATATATATACACATACGCGCACGCACGCACGCACACACACGAACACACACGCAGACTTTAATACCGTACATTCATCTCCGATGATGTGATGAAACCAGTTTAAAAAAAACTAAAAATATTTACAAGAGAATACATTCAGGGTGCTCATTAAAGTTTTCATTAACGGCATTAAATCTGGCCACACCGCGTGCTGACATGCGCGAGGCTAGCCATGCGCGTATTACAGCTCGCTGATATGCGCAGATGTAGTCCTGCGCATCCTTCACGGTGCCAGTGTGTTACGCTTATCTTGGTGTGGAAACCTCAACACAAACAAGTTACATGGATGGGGCGTACTTTAAGTGCTACACCAGAGGTCACAAACATGGCCAAATCTACAACAGGCCACCAAAACATTGCCAAATCTACAACAGGCCACCAAAACATTGCCAAATCTACAACAGGCCACCAAAACATTGCCAAATCTACAACAGGCCACCAAAACATTGCCAAATCTACAACAGGCCACCAAAACATTGCCAAATCTACAACAGGCCACCAAAACATTGCCAAATCTACAACAGGCCACCAAAACATTGCCAAATCTACAACAGGCCACCAAAACAAACATTGCCAAATCTACAACAGGCCACCAAAACATTGCCAAATCTACAACAGGCCACCAAAACATTGCCAAATCTACAACAGGCCACCAAAACATTGCCAAATCTACAACAGGCCACCAAAACATTGCCAAATCTACAACAGGCCACCAAAACATTGCCAAATCTACAACAGGCCACCAAAACATTGCCAAATCTACAACAGGCCACCAAAACATTGCCAAATCTACAACAGGCCACCAAAACAAACATTGCCAAATCTACAACAGGCCACCAAAACATTGCCAAATCTACAACAGGCCACCAAAACATTGCCAAATCTACAACAGGCCACCAAAACATGGCCAAATCTACAACAGGCCACCAAAACATTGCCAAATCTACAACAGGCCACCAAAACATTGCCAAATCTACAACAGGCCACCAAAACATTGCCAAATCTACAACAGGCCACCAAAACATTGCCAAATCTACAACAGGCCACCAAAACATTGCCAAATCTACAACAGGCCACCAAAACAAACATTGCCAAATCTACAACAGGCCACCAAAACATTGCCAAATCTACAACAGGCCACCAAAACATTGCCAAATCTACAACAGGCCACCAAAACATTGCCAAATCTACAACAGGCCACCAAAACATTGCCAAATCTACAACAGGCCACCAAAATATTGCCAAATCTACAACAGGCCACCAAAACATTGCCAAATCTACAACAGGCCACCAAAACATTGCCAAATCTAGAACAGGCCACCAAAACATTGCCAAATCTACAACAGGCCACCAAAACATTGCCAAATCTACAACAGGCCACCAAAACATTGCCAAATCTACAACAGGCCACCAAAACATTGCCAAATCTACAACAGGCCACCAAAACATTGCCAAATCTACAACAGGCCACCAAAACATTGCAAAATCTACAACAGGCCACCAAAACGTTGCCAAATCTACAACAGGCCACCAAAACATTGCCAAATCTACAATAGGCCACAAACATGGCCATAATTACAACTGGCCACTAAAACATGGCCATATTACAACAGGCCACAAACATGGCCAAGCCATCATCTGTGTACTTTACCTACAACGTCCACGGCTTATCACAAGAATTAGCAGATTAACATCTGAAGACAGGCGAACACAGTCAGAAGCTTGTTAGAACGCTACACAGTGCTGCAGTTTAGCACCTACACGGTGCTGCAGTTTAGCACCTACACGGTGCTGCAGTTTAGCACCTACACAGTGCAGGAGTTTAGCACTTACACAGTGCTGGAGTTTAGCACTTACACAGTGCTGCAGTTTAGCACATACAAGGTGCTGGAGTTTAGCACATACAAGGTGCTGGAGTTTAACAACTACAATGTACTGGAGCTTAGCACCTACAAGGTGCTGGAATTTAGCACCTACACGGTGCTGGAGTTTAGCACCTACACAGTGCTGAATTTTAGCACCTACACAGTGCTAAATTTAAGCACCTACACAGTGCTGGAGCTTAGTATATACAAGGTGATGGAGTTTAGTACATACAAGGTGATGGAGTTTAGTACATACAAGGTGATGGAGTTTAGTACATACAAGGTGTTGGAGTTTAGTACATACAAGGTGCTGGAGTTTAGTACATACAAGGTGATGGAGTTTAGTACATACAAGGTGATGGAGTTTAGTACATACAAGGTGATGGAGTTTAGTACATACACGGTGATGGAGTTTAGTACATACACGGTGATGGAGTTTAGTACATACAAGGTGCTGGAGTTTAGTACATACAAGGTGATGGAGTTTAGTACATACAAGGTGATGGAGTTTAGTACATACAAGGTGATGGAGTTTAGTACATACAAGGTGCTGGAGTTTAGTACATACAAGGTGATGGAGTTTAGTACATACAAGGTGCTGGAGTTTAGTACATACAAGGTGATGGAGTTTAGTACATACAAGGTGCTGGAGTTTAGTACATACAAGGTGATGGAGTTTAGTACATACAAGGTGATGGAGTTTAGTACATACAAGGTGATGGAGTTTAGTACATACAAGGTGATGGAGTTTAGTACATACAAGGTGATGGAGTTTAGTACATACAAGGTGCTGGAGTTTAGTACATACAAGGTGATGGAGTTTAGTACATACAAGGTGATGGAGTTTAGTACATACAAGGTGATGGAGTTTAGTACATACAAGGTGATGGAGTTTAGTACATACAAGGTGATGGAGTTTAGTACATACAAGGTGATGGAGTTTAGTACATACAAGGTGATGGAGTTTAGTACATACAAGGTGATGGAGTTTAGTACATACAAGGTGCTGGAGTTTAGTACATACAAGGTGATGGAGTTTAGTACATACAAGGTGATGGAGTTTAGTACATACAAGGTGCTGGAGTTTAGTACATACACGGTGATGGAGTTTAGTACATACACGGTGATGGAATTGAGCACCTACACGGTGCTGGAGTTTAGCTCCTACACAGTCTTGGAATTTAGCTCTTACACAGTGCTAAAGTTTAGCACCAACTGATTGCTGGTATTAACCAAGATTAACGTGATTGACAATTAAAATACACAACTCTGTGTGTGTCACAGCGACCTATCTCACTTACACGCTAACACCTCTTCAATCATGTTATAGAAACAAATGTGGCTTACCATTATAAATCAGTGAGAGTTAAAAAATGAGAGGTTGGAGAAGATGAGAGGAGAATTTGGTATTCTGGAACAATTTTATGACTTTTCTTCTCAGTTGATTTTTTTTTAAAATAAAGTTTTTAAAGCAACTGAGCCGATTCAGCCCTAAAGGGTACCTAACGTGTTTTGGGGAATGTATACATTTCTAAGAATGTTGAGAGCACGAATTTTACATAACGAGGCTGTAATCAACTCAGCTTCGTCTACCTAAATAAAAAAATCAACTTCAGTCTGTTTACAGTATTTAAAGCCAAAAATCATTTCGTAAAATATCAATTTTAAGTCGATCTGACCCATCTCAGACTTTGAAGTTAAAGCCCAACATAACCACTCAAAAACATTCTTCAGCTGAGCTGTAGTGCAGCCGATAACGACGTCTGATAACAGATTTTGTCTGGCAAAATAAAGTTCGGTAACCAAGTGCTTATTTAAAGACAACTTTTATTTTTTTTATAAATCAGGTAAACGAAAAAGTTAACCTAGCTTTTAGTTTTTTAAAAAAGCAATCTTTACCGTTATTAACTCCCCTGTGAAATTAAATCGATAGTTCCTACTTTCGTTTCTGGACCCGGCTCGTGGTGACCTTGACCTTCGGGCTTCCTTCCTGTTTCCCCTTTTTTTTCCCCCGCATCCATCAACGTTTCCTTATCATAACCAAAATAAACCCCCGGATAACAGTAACGATAACTCGTAAGGCTTTGACCGGAGCAGATCAAGAGTTACTTTCCGTGATTGATTGGGTGTGTGTGTGTCTGTGCGAGGAAGAGCGCGTCCATGTGTGCGGGTGTGTGTGCGTGTGTGTACCCCTGGAGTACATCAACCAGGATATTACTTTCACGGTCTTTATCATTGCCTGACAAGGGCGACTAATCCTTCTTTACTAAGAAAGGGGAAATAAATCTTAACCTCTTTTTAAGATGATGTCTTTCTTCTCTACAAAATATTACCTGTATTGTTAAGTTTTCGTTATTTTACTCAGACTGAATAAAATCAACAGAAGTTTCTTTTGGGTAGATGTCCTGTTCGTCTTTCGTGTAATTATTATTACGTCACGTAGTTTGTTTTTAAGAAGAGGTGTCAGTGTGTATGATGGGTTAGTTCGAGTTAGGCGAGTTAAGAAATACGAGAAACAATTTACAACACACAAGGTGGGACATAGTTTGGGATTTTAAAAAATCTACATTGGATTTAAAAGAATTATTTTAAAAGTAATAATTCTGTTTGATTCCAACAAAAGCTTTTTTTAAACCCAGTTCTGTATATTTCTAAGGACTAACAACTCAGCGTAAGTCTAAAGGTACAATTTGGCACAGAGGGAGAATGTCTAGAATATTGCATGTTACAGAACAGATAACAAATGAGAATGTCTAGACTACACCATGCTACAGAACAAAGAACAAATGATAATGTCTAGAATATTGTATGTTACATAACAAAGAACAAATGAGAATGTCTAGAATATGTTATGTTACATAACAAAGAAGAGAAGTCTCAGAACAAAACTTCTTAAAAGACATTAAATGAAGAAGTTCTAGAACAGTCCAGACCACTGACCTTCCCCTCCATAGAGCGTGGCCTCCACATTGTAGATGAGCTCCCTCACTATGTCCGTGTTGCCGGCCTGAGCTATGTTGGTCAACACAAACAGGTAGTAGTCGATCATCCTGGGGGTGGGGGGGGGGAGGGTTTGAAGTTAGTTGGATCTATTTTACATTATAAAATGTTAATGCTTAATTTAGTGGGTTTTTTTTTCGTTGTGTTGATCGGCTAGCCTCTATATATTATGATGTCAAAGCATAAATGTATTTTTTAAAAAGTTTTTCTTCATAGCTTTATGAAATGATGTAAACTTCCTGTACTTAGAGCAATATCCGCCTACTGAGTACACTTGCTTCTTAGCCAGTTATATAAATATCACAGAAAAATGAAGATATATTTTTATTTGCTAGGTGTCTTCTGTGGGTTTTTTTTATAGCAAGTCGTGATGTAGTGATGGTGCTCTAATGCGTCTGTTCCATATATAAAATTATGATAAATCTAAAACGTTTTTAAAACTTGAACTTGTTATGATGTTCTGTTATCTTGATTTGTTTCGTTATTTAAAATTAGTTTATAGTTGTTTTTTTTTTTTACCTAATATTTTATTGGCTGCTTGACAATTTAGCTTTGATACAACCAAGGCCGACAACTTGAGGTAAAAACATATCAGGGTTATCAGTTGGTTGATGTGTGGGTGGTGATGTGTGGGTGGTCTAATGTGAGGGTGTGATGGTGTGTGAATCCCCGGTGTTGTGTTAAGTAGGTGTTGTTTGAAGAGCTTGACAGCCCAGGTTTAGGTTTAGGTTGGCGGGTTAAGGCGAGTTATTGTTGGACTGGAGAGGAATTGATGTTTTGTGTATGTTACATTGGCTTGGTTGTAGTCGGCGTGTCGGGTAGTCGGCGTGTCGGGTAGTCGGCGTGTCGGGTAGTCGGCGTGTCGGCTTCAGTAGGCGACATCTCTGTCTGTGAAAAATGTAGGCAGGGCCGTTTTAAGGTCTTTGTAGGCCCTAAAAGTTCATAGGTCCTAAAAGTTCGTAGGTCTTAAAAATTCGTAGGCCCTAAAAGTTCGTAGGCCCTGAAAGTTCGTAAACCCTAAAAGTTCGTAGACTCTAAAAGTTCGTAGGCTCTAAAAGTTCGTAGGCTCTAAAAGTTCGTAGGCTCTAAAAGTTCGTAGGCCCTAAAAGTTCGTAGGCTCTAAAAGTTCGTAGGCTCTAAAAGTTTGTAGGCCCTAAAAGTCCGTAGGCTCTAAAAGTTCGTAGGCTCTAAAAGTTCATAGACCCTAAAATTTCGTAGGCCCTAAAAGTTCGTAGGCCCTAAAAGTTCGAAGCCTTGGCCACTTTTTGAATTCGTAGTCCCAGCTGGCAATGTTGGCCGTGCACTAGATTATGTAAAGTTTATATCGCAATACATATTATGGTAAGGATTGCATTTATGCAGGAAAATATGTAGTCGAAAATGTCACTTTCAATTATTTTTTCACTCATTGTTTTCTAAATGTTGTAGGCACTAAAAGGGTTCAGGCCCTAGGCACGATGCCTACCTTGCCTAATGGATACAACAGCACTGGCTGTAGGCTGTCTTAGCTTCATTAGGCAACATTTCAAAGCGGCTGTTCATGACAGCTGTAGGCTGCCTTGTTACAATGCGCGACATTTCGAATTGTTGGTCTTTATATGAGTTATCTCATGTGTTTGTTGTGTAAGCACATGTGTTTTGAACGTGTGTCGCCAATATATCGTATGGCGTGTTATGTATGTGCTGTAATTCTGTGTATACGTAAACAAGAAGTCTTTTTGTATGTGAGTATATCTACAATATGATGGTATATGCTGTATATCGTATATGTGCTATATGAACTGACACACTTTACTCAATATTTCCCTACCTCCCCCCCCCCTCACCCCTCCCTCCAATAAACTCTTTAACAAATTCACTACTCACGATGTTTCATAGACTGTCAGTTGACCTTGAAGAGATCTCAGCTGATCTGCAACCTCTTTCTGGAATACAAGCAGCAATGAAGGCGGTTGAAAGAAATTTAAGTCACTGAACTTTGCACGTTTTTTTTTAAATTTACTTGTTCAATTTAATATTAAAGTTTAGTGAGTAAGGGGGTGGGGGGAGTGAGTAAATAACTTTTGATACTTATATTTTCTTTTAAATGTGTCTTTCCAAAGTCACTTCTAGCAGACGACACAACATTGCGGGACAAACAATTTTACCAAATTCTCGGGTGTAGCTTCGATAATTTTCTCGATGTTGTTCTCAATGATTTTATCAGCCTCCTCCACTCGGCCAGCCTGTGATAGAAGATAAAACATACACGTTCTTAAGTGGTGCTGATATTATGGTCTATGGAATGGTGGTAACGGTCGGAAACAAACGTCACGAGTGAATAAGTAAAGCAGAGGCCAAATTGTGAGTTGTGTGTGAGTGTGTGTGTGGGGGGGGGGGGGGGATTTAAAGGGGTTACCAGGGAGGGGTAACAGGGGAAGTCGTCTGTACATCTAGATCTGATAATAAACAAACACATTTCCAAATGTAGTTGTGTGTGGGGGGGGAGGGGGGCATCTATATCTGACAATAAACTAACAACTTTCCAAATGTAGTTGTGTGTGTGGGGGGGGGGGGGGTGGGGGATGGTGGTCGCCATGAAAATCGCCTGTACATCTATATCTGACAATAAACTAACAACTTTCCAAATGTAGCTGTGTCTCTACATCCACCCTATTGTCGACCTCGTATAACCCTTGAACTCTACGAAGGAAAGCTTCCATTGATGTGTACTTACAGTTATTTTATGATTGTTTATAAAGCGTGGCGAGGGCAGATGTTTGTGACGTAATACGGTCAATGTATGACGTTGTAGGGTATGCGTGCATTCACGCACGTGCTTATGACGTCATGTCAAAGGCGATGCTGCTTGTAACAGATCATAACGATGTTTGCAGGGAGGGGGGGGTACCATGTAGTGCGTCATTTATTTACCGACTCCAAAGAAGAATTACGTGAAGTTAAATCAAAGACCTGGAGAAATTTGTTTCATCCCAGCTCTTGACCGCAGGGTGAAAAATGTCTTTCAGAACTTTCTGGCCACTAAATCATGCATGGGGCTGGGAGATAAGAGGGACGAATTTTGTTTACTTCTTGGTCGTCGGTTGCCTGGCAACGGAATGTGATGGGTGTCTGGACTGTTCTTGGGTTTTAAATTTTTTTTTTCGCTTTTTTATTTTTTAAATTTGCATTACAGTACATTTATTTTTATGCTAATATGAAGTTTGTAAACCGAAACTTACAAAACGAAATGTAGATCTATATTGCATTATATAAATATGTAGGCCCCTATACTGTTTACAATGAGGAAATTGTGTGTTTATATTGTATGCAATATAAATTCTCATACATAAAGACAGAGGCGTCTAGAGGCGGGGGCGGGGGCGGGGGGTGCGGACCGCACCGGGTGACACCATTTATGGTGGGTGACACCAAGACGAAAAATTGCTAAATATATACAAGAAAAATGCTTCTTGCCTGTTCAGATAAAGAATAATTAGAGTTTAAAGTGTTATACGTACTCACTGACCATCTCGACAATACATACACACTCACACACATAAACACACACACATATATATACTTTTTTCCTTTGGTGTGTGTGTGTGGGGGGGGGGGGGTGACACCAAAAAGTGCCGCACCGGGTAACACCCGACCTAGCGACGCCACTGCCTAAAAGAACTAATTTAACACATCTACTTCAAGTTCTAACGAAACCGATTTATATTGCTAACCCTAACCCTCCATCTAAAACACAGCCCTTAACCCAACCCTTTGGAGTTGTACCACTAACCCCTAGATTTACCAAAACACAGTCACACTACCCCTCAGCTATGTCAAGTATGTTTGTAAGTCCTGCCTCAGAATTTTTAAACTGCTGGTCCCTACCTCTTCCAACAGGGCGCCATCGTAGCTTCGGTGTAGTCCAGTCCTCTCGTTGATAAAAATGCTGAGCGATTCTTCAGACAGCACCCCTCCGAACTGTAAACAAAACTCACAGTTATCAGGGGCTGGGGTGGGGCTCGTGTCAGAAGGTCAGGGTCGCTGTGGGGTAATTACTTCCGGTTTGGTGATTAAAGCCGGGTGAGGTGAATGGGGATTTGGCTGGTTGCGTGGTAAGGAGGGTTCAGGGTCTGGGTCATTGGGGTCTTGTCTGCGGGGGGTCTGGGTCATTGAATCTGGGTCAAAAGAAACCTGGGACTTTAGGGTCTGGGTAATTAGGGTCTGGGTCATTGAATCTGGGTCAAAAGAACCTGGGACTTTAGGGTCTGGGTCATTGAATCTGGGTCAAAAGAACCCTGGGACTTTAGGGTCTGGGTCATTGAATCTGGGTCAAAAGAACCTGGGACTTTAGGGTCTGGGTAATTAGGGTCTGGGTAATTAGGGTCTGGGTCATTGAATCTGGGTCAAAAGAATCTGGCGCTTTAGAGTCTGGGTCAGTAAGGTCTTTTCAGTCTATGTATTATAGACAAAGACAGACAATACATTTATAACAGTTAACTCACACCAATAAATTAAAAGAAATAAATGAAAACACTAGATGTGTGACATATCAATACAAATACAGACTTAGGTCTAGAAACGATGAATATCCAACAATAGAATTAGGCCTGACTATGAAGAATGCAACAATGTGCCTCACCCTTTTGGGCGAATTTTTATCCTCGGCGTCCAGCCAAATGACCACTGGGGTATCTCTGGACAAGAACCTAATTACAACAAAATTAATGAGTTTAATCAAATGAGGTAATTACAATCATCATTAATTAAAATGTTATTTAAAATTAAACGAAAAAATTATGGTTATTAAAATACGGCTAATGCAAACAGATTAATTAAGAATGGCAGTTAGTATTAAATTGATCAACAGCAGTAATTAAAATTAGACTAATTAACCATGCCAGTTAAAATCAGGTTAATTGCCTACGTCTATTGGCGACAAAAACTCTAGCGTGAAGTGAAAGGCTGACTTGAAGTACTCACTTTTTATCTCTTAGCTTTTGATGTTTCTCTACATCCAAGGTGGCTAGCAGAATCTGATTGGAGAAAGTTACAATTGTTATGATACAGAATCTGACTGGGGAAAGTTACAATTGTTATGATACAGAATCTGATTTGAGAAAGTTACAATTGTTATGATACAGAATCCGATTGGAGAAAGTTACAATTGTTATGATACAGAATCTGATTGAAGAAAGTTACAATTGTTATGATACAGAATCTGATTGGAGAAAGTTACAATTGTTATGATACAGAATCTGATTGGAGAAAGTTACAATTGTTATGATACAGAATCTGATTGGAGAAAGTTACAATTGTTATGATACAGAATCTGATTGAAGAAAGTTACAATTGTTATGATACAGAATCTGATTGAAGAAAGTTACAATTGTTATGATACAGAATCTGATTGGAGAAAGTTACAATTGTTATGATACAGAATCTGATTGGAGAAAGTTACAATTGTTATGATACAGAATCTGATTGGGGAAAGTTACAATTGTTATGATACAGAATCTGATTGAAGAAAGTTACAATTGTTATGATACAGAATCTGATTGAAGAAAGTTACAATTGTTATGATACAGAATCTGATTGGAGAAAGTTACAATTGTTATGATACAGAATCTGATTGGAGAAAGTTACAATTGTTATGATACAGAATCTGATTGGAGAAAGTTACAATTGTTATGATACAGAATCTGATTGGGGAAAGTTACAATTGTTATGATACAGAATCTGATTGAAGAAAGTTACAATTGTTATGATACAGAATCTGACTGGGGAAAGTTACAATTTGTATAATACTGTCATATTATCTGGACAACTAACGTCGTATACGGATAGTTTAATTTTTAAAAATTTATATAGTAGTACCGAGAGTTTAAAAAGTAGGATATCGACAAAATTCAAGAACCGCACTGTCGGAAACTTCATCTATACGAGAGGTCATTCTTAAAATAGCTTAAATATAAGATGGGGGTTGGGGTCGGGGTAGCATGAGCTAGACAGATAAGGAAAGGGTGCAAGTTTGAAATTAAAAAAACTGATTTTATTTCTATTTTATGTTTGCTATTTCTATTTATTAATCCACGGGAGGTAAGTTTGTAAAAATTTTATTTTATAAAATAATTGTTTTGTTACTTCCCTTTGACCGTGAAATCAAACAATCTTTGAAGCAAGGGAGTTAACAAATTCCGTTTGAGCCGAAATGATAATGTTTATGTTCTTTTCGGTGCATTCATATTGACATAATATACATAGTAAATTTAATTTATTATTAAATAGCAAAATTTCACTAACGTTTCGAAGGTATCAAAGCCTTATCAAAAAGCAAAATAAAGCTTTAATTAAAAATAATATGCATGACATTACACACAGGTTACACTGATATAACTAAAACAGTTAATTTTGTTACTGCAGCATGTCTTGACATTGTAGTGATTTTTTTTAAGGGTACACTTTATTTTATGAGAACCAATGTCTTATGCCATTTTATTTTCTCCCTTTGATTATTATGTATGCAATTGATGTTCATATCCTTGATGCTGTGTTAAATTATCAAACAAATTATTATTACTGATTTAAAAGTTTAAAACAATTGAATTAAACAAAAAACAAATTGTTTGAGCACTGTATAGATATAGATGTTTGAAGGGGAAGAATGTTTGCTTTGATGTGTCTCGTTGTAATAACATAACTTTTCCGATTGCTTAAAATTTGCATCATTGTAATTCTCTGTAATCACACATTTATTTCAGCTCTACTTAAAAACCCAAACGCCACCCCGTACCCCCCCCCCCCCCCCCCCACCCACCAGGCCGAGGGGGGAAAAAATCCCTTGAATCATCATTTAATTGCACATTTGCATTTTCAGGTTGGTTTTTATTTTATTTTATTTTTTATATTTAGACGTTTTGTATTAGATCTATGTATAAGTAAACCACCTTAAATGAATGAAAGTAGGCTACAAGTAAGAAAGAAATATTACTATTGTAAATCTGTATCAGTCCCAGAGGCGTAGCGACCCTTCCCGGCGCCCGGGGACAAATTTTCAATTTGGCGCCCCCCCCCCCCTATATATATTTCATATTTATAATGCAAAACTGCAGCTAAAATGAGCTTTTAATTTTTTTCCAACCCATTTTGGCGCCCCCTAGGGTCAGCGCCCGAAGACATATGTACCCCCTGCCCCCCCCCCCCCCTTCACTACCCCTCTGATCAGTCATCACAAGCCGGTGATGAAAACTGTGCACACAACTGACGCTGTGAATTACATGTCTGAGGCAAAAAAAAAAAAAAAAAAATATGAGAACCAATGTTCCACGCATCGTTACAGGAAAACCTGAGACAGGGGAGCTTACCGCGTCATCCTTACGAAATGCCTTGGCGACGTTTTCAAACACCCTCACCGCTTCATAATCGTCTGCAACATTTAAAACAAGAGGTCAAGTGAAACAATGTGCTTAGTAGTTGTGTGAGTACACGAAGGATAGAAAATTATGGACATGGAACAAGTTCTTATCAAAAAAAAATTGGACAATAATTAATAAACTAGATCATTTTTGGCTTAATAATGGCCTTATTTTTATTAGATTTTTGTTTTAGTTGAGTGTGGCTTGTATTTGTAATGAGGCGAAATTTGAACCTTTATACACACACACACATATATATATATATATATATATATATATATATATATATATATATATATTATTAATACGTAAAATGTTTGACCTTCTACCTGATCTTCTGCCTGACCACATCACACTGACCTTTCTACCACATCACACTGACCTTTCTACCACATCACACTGACCTTTCTACCACATCACACTGACCTTTCTACCACATCGCACTGACCTTTCTACCACATCACACTGACCTTTCCACCACATCACACTGACCTTTCTACCACATCACACTGACCTTTCTTGTACAACAGCAGCAGGACCGACTGTTTGGGGGTCATGATGACTTCATCATAAATCTGCTCATCAGCGTGTACCGTGTAGGTCCGGGTCAGACCGCCGAAGTTGCCGTACAAGATTCGTGCGATCTCCTCTACGATGTCATCAACTGTCACATCAACGTTCATACTAGGGAGGGAGGGGGCATCACTCATTAGTATTAGAATTATAAACGTTTTTAGGGGAGATAATTCTTTGTATACATGGGTAGGAGGGAATATAACACGATAATATCAGTAAAGGAAGGCGGAATAAGTTGCATGTTAATTTAATAGAGGCGAGATAACTCAATGATACCACTATGGAATGGAACACAACAGCGGTAATCGTTCGTGAGTATGGAAACGTATTGTTTTCCTTATACTCGAATCGAGGGGAGTTAACCTATCAATATTATGTGATGTGAAACACAAGTTAATATCATGCTGAATGAGGGGAGAAATCGTTGCGACTAGATCGCCATTTAACTAGATCACCAGTTGATTAGATCACCAGTTGATTAGACCACCACTTGACTAGACCACCAGTTGATTAGACCACCAGTTGACTAGATCACCACTTGACTAGATCACCAGTTGATTAGATCATATTAACCAAGCCACTCATTGACAAGATGGCCCGGGAGACTAGTTAATCCACAAACTGGGTCACGTATTCTCTAAATCAACTATACACTAAGTCTCTTATTATTTAGTTCCCCAATTTCTTGGAACACCTATTTACGAGGTCAACAATTGACTACTTTACACATTAACTAGGTCGCTTATCGACTAGAAATTGACTTACATTTCAAATGACTTGATGTCCATTCTATGGTAGACAAGGGCTGGTAGTTCAGTGATGCCCCATTTCTGATGGGAGAGGGAGATACAAGATGTTAACAAAGATGTCAACAATTTGAGTTGAACCGGTGTGTCACTGTGTAACCGGTGTGTCACTGTGTAACCGGTGTGTCATTGTGTAACCGGTGTGTCACTGTGTAACCGGTGTGTCACTGTGTAACCGGTATGTCACTGTGTAACCGGTGTGTCACTGTTGAACCGGTGTGTCACTGTTGAACCGGTATGTCACTGTGTAACCGGTGTGTCACTGTTGAACCGGTGTGTCACTGTTGAACCGGTATGTCACTGTGTAACCTGTGTGTCACTGTTGAACCGGTGTGTCACTGTTGAACCGGTGTGTCACTGTTGAACCAGTGTGTCAGTAATTCGAATATGCTTTATAATTTTATCTAGTATGAGTTTTTGTCGTGTCCTACCTGGATTAAGCTCTTGTCCTGTGTCTTACCTGGATTAAGCTCTTGTCGTGTGTCCTACCTGAATTAAGCTCTTGTCGTGTGTCCTACCTGAATTAAGCTCTTGTCGTGTGTCCTACCTGAATTAAGCTCTTGTCGTGTGTCCTACCTGAATTAAGCTCTTGTCATGTGTCCTACCTGGATTAAGTTCTTGTGTGTCCTACCTGGATTAAGTTCTTTGTGTCCTACCTGGATAAAGCTCTTGTCCTGTGTCTTACCTGGATTAAGTTCTTGTCCTGTGTCTTACCTGGATTAAGTTCTTGTGTGTCCTACCTGGATTAAGTTCTTGTCGTGTGTCCTACCTGGATTAAGCTCTTGTCATGTGTCCTACCTGGATTAAGTTCTTGTGTGTCCTACCTGGATTAAGTTCTTGTCGTGTGTCCTACCTGGATTAACCTCTTGTCGTGTGTCCTACCTGGGTTAAGTTCTTGTGTGTCCTACCTGGATAAAGCTCTTGTCCTGTGTCTTACCTGGATTAAGTTCTTGTCCTGTGTCTTACATGGATTAAGTTCTTGTGTATCCTACCTGGATTAAGTTCTTGTCGTGTGTCCTACCTGGATTAAGCTCTTGTCATGTGTCCTACCTGGATTAAGTTCTTGTGTGTCCTACCTGGATTAAGTTCTTGTGTGTCCTACCTGGATTAAGTTCTTGTGTGTCCTACCTGGATTAACCTCTTGTCGTGTGTCCTACCTGGGTTAAGTTCTTGTGTGTCCTACCTGGATTAAGCTCTTGTCGTGTGTCCGAGTGAAGAAAATCTCCGGGTCATTAGGAAACACCTGAGAGGCGGCCAGGTAGAAAGGGAACAAGATGCGACATCGTGTACAGGCTGAAACAGGTGAAGCAGAGTTACTCTCAGACCCTAGCTCTTAACACTTTGTAACTTGACCTCACTCTAATGGTGTTGCGTATGACCTCACGCTAATGGTGTGCATAATTTTGTTAAAATGACGGGGGGGGGGGGGTTGTCGATTGTATCTCTTTCAGACTTTTTTCTCCGGTGGAGGGGGGGGGTACTTGAAATGTCCGGGGGGAGGAGCACTTAATTTTGTGGGGGAGGGGGCAGACACTAGTAAAATGTATTTTTCCAAATAAATTATATCCCCCCCCCTCATTCGCCGAAGTTTGGGCGTGCTTTAGAGGGGTAGGGGTAGAGCCGCTGATACCATCCATCTACTGCACCTACACCTACTTGATTTACTTCACATCACAACTCAACTTCCTGAAGTGTTTTAAGCCATGAAAAAATAACATTATTTTTCCGCTTAAATAGACACGTTCTTGGTGCACACTTGATTCTGCTTACACCACCGTACCACGTTTAGGGAGGGGGAGATGATGACAGTACAGGTAGCAGTGCTTTCCCGTCCTTTCTATTTGATTAACACCCCCCCCCCCCCCCACCCAAATCTCAAAGGGCCTACCGCAGTACCAAAAATTTCAGACCCTCAAGGGAATTAACTCTTACTTGGTGAGTCCACAAACGTCAGCACGAATAGCTTGCCCCTTAAAAACTGGGAATAAAAGCGAAACAAAATGTAAACGTAAAAACTGGGAACAAATATTTTTAAAAAATTTAAACATTCCAGATTAGGAAACAAATTACAACAGATAAAAAAAAAAAAGATGCAGCATGTTTGCACTCTGTATTTAAACCAGCACAGCAGGCGATTGGATAACTATCAACTACACAGATCAAGATCAGAAGCAGCCAATCAGAATGTTGTGTCTGGCAGTGTAGCTGGACGGGTTTCTTTCAGACGTTTTTTCAGGTAGAGGGGAGGGGGGGCGGAGCTTGATTAAATTTCTAGAGAGCAGACACTGATATATTACCTTCTATATTATTTTTTTTTTATTTTTCAATCAGGGAGGGTGAACTTTCTTTAGGGTTTGGGGGTGGTAGGGGAGGGGAGGGGCAGTGCACAACCGAAGAGATGCCTAAAAGCTACTCTGATAGCTGGGGCTCATTTCACATCCCTCCCCCCTCTCCCCCATCCCACCCATACTTTACCTCTAACACAGCCCTTTCAGAAATCATTTTTTATAAAATATATTTTAGGGGCCCATTCAAAGTACTGATGACGACAGAGGTTGTCAGTTAATCAGGCTAAATGAACAATGCTGTCAGTCCATCACGCTAAATGAACGATGCTGTCAGTCCATCACGCTAAATGAACGATGGTGTCAGTCCATCACGCTAAATGAACGATGCTGTCAGTGTATCACGCTTAATGAACGATGCTGTCAGTCCATCACGCTAAATGAACGATGCTGTCAGTCCATCACGCTAAATGAACGATGGTGTCAGTCCATCACGCTAAATGAACGATGCTGTCAGTCCATCACGCTAAATGAACGATGCTGTCAGTTTATCACGCTTAATGAACGATGGTGTCAGTCCATCACGCTAAATGAACGATGCTGTCAGTCCATCACTCTAAATGAACGATGCTGTCGGTCCATCACGCTTAATGAACGATGCTGTCAGTCCATCACGCTAAATGAACGATGCTGTCAGTCCATCACGCTAAATGAACGATGCTGTCAGTCCATCACGCTAAATGAACGATGCTGTCGGTCCATCACGCTAAATGAACGATGCTGTCAGTCCAATCCCCACAGACTCGTGATCTATGTCATCATGTTTAACCACACATTGTATCAAACAGCCAATCACATTTCTTTAATTAGATATTTACTTTTTTAACCAATCATGTCACAACTTTAAGTATTTTTGGCTTAGTGCTAACAAAATGTAAAAAAAACATCTAAATGCTGACACAACCGAGAAAGAGGGTGAACGTTTGAGTGTTATCAATGTTGACAAACGTACCAAGAACAAACAAATCAATGTGAGGAAAAAAACTTGAAACAGAATTATAAAATACAAAATTTAAAATTTAAAATTTAAAAAAAAGGTTAATTATACCATTAGGTGCACACTTGATTTCGTAAATTTTTTGTTAGGTAAGTCATAAGTCAAGTAAACCATAACTATGTCAGTCAAGAGTTATTTAAGTCATTTACATAAGTCATAAGAGTATAAATTCACGAGTAACGAAGTCATGACCTACCTAGGTCAAGATCTACTTAGGTCAGGTACGATAGTTAAGTCACATAAGTCATAAGTCACATGACTCAGCATAAGTCATAAGTCACATGACTCAGCATAAGTCAGGTGTACCTACCTTATCTATAGAGCCTTGGTTGATCTCATGGACCTTCCCTAAACTAACCGTTAAACAAAATGACAATGTCAAGGTCAGAAATAGACCGGAAACTCGTGGCTTGCTCGCCATAGTCATTAGAATAATTAATCTCTACTAATTAGAGAAAATAATCAGATTATACGCCAGTAAATCCCAGTAATTGATTAAAGTATCAAAGAATTTAACAGGTTAAAATCCAACAAAGTCATATGCAGCAAATTGAATAACAAGCTAAACAAGTATTTAAAAGGTTACTCTAAGTAACCACTAGTTGTGTTACTTTAAGATAACCATTACTTGTTAATCCAAAAACAACGCTGAATAATGTTACAGAAATCTGGTGTAACAGTGCTACAAAACACTACAGTAACACAACACAACTACACACTATCGCCAGGAAAACAAACTATCACGCTACGCGAAGGTTCGAATCCAACCCTCCCCAACTACGACACAACACTGTGCTACAGAAATTTGTCAAAATAATCTGGCCAGTGCTACGTGTAGGTGACCAGCGACGTGTGCTCAACGTGTCACCAGTCACGTGATCGATACCTGAAACATGTGCTCACCTACAGCCGTCGAGAAAGTTCTTTAAAAAAAAGAAATCTTTTTTTTAAAAAAATCGAAGTTTAAAACGCAGATAAACATCTGGCGCCGGCAAGTCACGTGATCATGTCATGTGACCACGTGACGTGACGCCGGTTTTTGCCGTGTTAAAGTGTTACTTCCTGGAGAATTGTAATCTGATTTTATATGTGACCTTGGGGGGGGGGGTGCAAAAGGAGGGATACAGACAGGCTCTCTCTATAGATTTTTTTAACGATCACAGCCAGTAGCAACAACCACTTGCGACATACACCTCCTTTATTTCACCCCCCCCCCCCCCCATTTTACCAAATGTTATTTAAATACCCCCCCCCCCTTTTACCACAATATCATGTTGATACCCCCCATTTTACCACGATATTATTTTCACCTCCCCCCCCCCATTTTACCACAATATTATTTTAACACCCCCCCCCCCCCATTTTGCCGCCCCATATTAGTTAATCCACCTACAGTAATCCGCCCCAGTATTTAACCCACCACTATTATGCTATCCCACCATTTTACCATCCCACCATTTTACCATCCCACCATTTTTTCGGTGCATTATGTCTTTAAGCCCCCCAACCCCACCCCACCATTTTGTCAGTGTTTTATGTCTTTATGTAAGCCCCCCAACCCCACCCCACCATTTTGTCGGTGCTTTATGTCTTTATGTAAGCCCCCCCCAACCCCCATTTTTCCGCCCCATATTAGTTAATCCACCTACCTTTAACCGCCCCAGTATTTAACCCACCACAAAATGTTATCCGCCCATTTTACCATCCCACCAAGCCCCCCCCAACCCCACCCCACCATTTTGTCAGTGTTCTATGTCTTTTTGTAAGCCACTCCCCCTCCCCCACCATTTTCCCTCCATTACACCACTAGATTATTGATCAGTTCCACATCTAGTCGAAGAACTAGGTCGAAGAACTAGGCAAGTTCTAATTATAAACATTTTTATCACACCGCAAGCGACGTGTAGATTACCCACACAAAAAATGTGACCCCATCCCATGTCAGAGGCGCAGCGACCCTTCCCGGCGCCCGGTGACAAACTTTTCGATTTGCACCCCCCCCCCCCCCTCAAACTTTCAATTTGCACCCCCCTCAACCTTTCAATTTATTTTTCCAACCCATTTTGGCGCCCCCTAAGGTCGGCGCCCGGGGACATATGTCTCCCCCCCGCCCCCCCCCCTCGCTACGCTACTGTCACATGTACACTTCTTACAACAGCTATCGAATATCTGAACAACTGATACGTTATGGACAGAAATCTTTGAAATCTAAACACATTAGTTCCCTCCCCCCCCCTCCAGCCACACAAGATTATGTACACGAAATTCGTACTAACCTCACTGACAGCTAATTTTAACCGTCAGATCAGAAACAAAATCCTGTTCTTGGATTTAACTTGCCGCACTTCTTGTGTATGTGTTATCACATCAAACAAAGCAAAAAATGAAAACTTAAGTCCGAGATATTTTTTGTTGAATACAGCTATCATGGGAGGTGACTCCTGGTATTTTGACTTCTAATTTTCTAACCACAGTTTTCGTTTATTAAACATAGCTTACTTAAATCGACAAAAATAAAATTTCAAACTTGTTTTATAAAGACTGTTTATAATATTAACAGTAGTACCTCGAGATAGGAATTTAATTCGTTTCGTAACCTTTATTGCATCTCAAACGCTTGTTTTATCAAAGCGATTGTCGCAACTGAAACTAAGTTAAAATAATCAGTTCCAGTCCCAAAATGGCACCTACTTTGTTTATATATTGTTTATATATACATATATATATATATATATATATATATATATATATATATATATATATATATATATCGTGGTAGGGCTGGGGGACGACGACACTATTGGGTATCGCACGGGTGACACCAGACCTAGCGACGCCACTGAGTTAAGCTACAACTCTTATATAATTGTAGGTTATACACGACTCTTATATAATTGTAGGTTATACACAACTCTTATATAATTGTAGGTTATACACGACTTTTATATAATTGTAGGTTATACACAACTCTTATATAATTGTAGGTTATACACAACTCTTATATAATTGTAGGTTATACACAACTCTTATATAATATAGTTTTATTATATTCGCATTTATAACGAAATTCACATAGTATACACCTGCGTAATTGTAGGTTATACGCAACTCTTATATAATATAGTTTTATTATATTCGCATTTATAGCGAAATTCACATAGTATATACATGCGCATACACGCATAGGTACATGTATTATGTATTTGAAACAGTTTCAAATCATGGTAGGAAAAACCGTCTTCTTTCATTACCAAACGCAGATTAATCACATAACGCATTCATTATCTGCGGTTACACTTTAGCTACCAAAAGGATCAGAAATTTCTAAAGTAATAAAAAAATTCATTAAAAAAAAAGGTAACTTCACAGGTTTTTATAAGGGGACACTCCGTAGATTTTGAGTAACCTCGTCGAAAACGATCCACGAAATCCGAAACCTATGAAAACCGAGATAATAATTTAAACTGCCAGAGACTAACGTACACATGAACATAGATACAATTTTGACCTGCTGGCCAGTACTTCATTATTGACCGTGTACCATTGTTCTAGGTCCACGTCCACCCACGTATCACGTGATCCTCTAAAAGCGTGACTTTGTTTACTGTCGGCTTTGTTATCGAAGTCACATGACCAAAGGGTCACCCATTGTGTGCCTGGAGTTGAGAGAAAAATGTGTTTAGACAATGTACCTCTATTAAAGTTCATTAAATGTACCTCTATTAAAGTTCATTCAATGTACCTCTATTAAAGTTCATTAAATGTACATCTATTTAAGTTCATTAAATGTACCTCTATTAAAAGCATAAAATACGTTACGTCTTAGAGGTAGTTCATAAATGACCTGACACACTATGGGGCGAATATCATGCTAAGTTGCCACCATCCTTACACGTCAAGTTTTAGTTTTTACAGTCCAGCATTAAATCAAGTTTTAGTTTTTACAGTCCAACAGTAAATCAAGTTTTAGTTTTTACAGTCCAGCAGAAAATCAAGTTTTAGTTTTTACAGTCCAGCAGTAAATCAAGTTTTAGTTTTTACAGTCCAGCAGTAAATCAAGTTTTAGTTTTTACAGTCCAGCAGTAAATCAAGTTTTAGTTTTTACAGTCCAGCAGTAAATCAAGTTTTAGTTTTTACAGTCCAGCAGTAAATCAAGTTTTAGTTTTTACAGTCCAGCAGTAAATCAAGTTTTAGTTTTTACAGTCCAGCAGTAAATCAAGTTTTAGTTTTTACAGTCCAGCAGTAAATCAAGTTTTAGTTTTTACAGCCGAGCATTAAATTAATAATAATACATTAGTTTTTTTACACTACGTAAAGTTATTCGTTTTGGGCCTGGCGATCCACATGGCAGGTGGGGTTGAGTTTGCCTGTTTTTTATGCCTTCTTAGTATTTACAGTAAAACAGTAAATTTAGTTTTAGTTTTTACAGTTCAGCAGTGAAGTAAGTTTTCGTTTCAAACTTAACGATTCCCACCGCCTACCACAACCTCGAATGTAAGAAATGAACCCCGGGAGCAAAACACCCAAAACACACTACAATGACTTAAGGTTAATTCTCTGATGAAAATTAAAAGATAGCTACTTACTTTAGAAGAACCTTCCAGGTATAACGCCGATTGACGTCATCCAGTTCCAAGATAAATGATGAAATCATCAAAATTATTCTCCGTTAATCTTTACTTCTGTATATGTTACACGCCCTGAGAGGAATAGAGTTGCTTATATTACACACAATTGTATAAATGGGATGGAAACGCGTCTATAGACAGAAATGTAAACTAAAATTATATTCCTAGACCACTTCATGATTTATTTTTATTTTTTATTTTTTTATTTTTTTTTTTTTTTTTTTTTTTTTTGCTTAAGTATGAATACTATTTATAAAATGTTGTCTAGCAGACAGACATTAAAAAATTACAATTTTAAAGCAAAATCCTTACACAGTTATTTCAACATTCGTTAACAATTAAATTAGCTTGTCTTTGAAATTTCTACCAATGTGCTACTTTTGCAGCATCATTCATTCTAGTACATCCGAATTTCGAAAATAATCTAGAGCTGTCAACGTTTCTCAAATTCTTTGCTTATCTGAACAACGATGCCGACTTTATTGTTTGGCTGTGATCACACCAGCCTGATATAGCCTATTTAATTCGGGAATTTCAGTCAGTTCAGTGCGAGATAGGGCGCACGTATTAGCGTATCCAATGATTTTTTTTTTCCTTTCCCCTGGTGACTTGTTTCTCTCTATTTCCTGGAGATAGATGACTTGTAAATAAAGGAAGATTTAGCCCCAGTCATGAATAAAACAAACGCACAGACAAATAGAATAGGTAAATGTCCTTTTTATACTAGATCTAGTTTTTTTACTTATTTAATAGAAATATTTAGAATCTAGATCTTGATCTTGATCTTGATTAATGAAATTATTCTTCTGTATTTGAGACCGGGGTCTACATCCCACCTAACATTTCTCACAATCTACACCCCACCTAACCCTTCCCACAATCTACACCCCACCTAACCCTTCCCACAATCTACACCCCACCTAACCCTTCCCACAATCTACACCACACCTAACCCTTCCCACAATCTACACCCCACCTAACCCTTCCCACAATCTACACCCAACCTAACCCTTCCCACAATCTACACCACACCTAACCCTTCCCACAATCTACACCCCACCTAACCCTTCCCACAATCTACACCCCACCTAACCCTTCCCACAATCTACACCCCACCAAACCCTTCCCACAATCTACACCCCACCTAACCCTTCCCACAATCTACACCCCACCTAACCCTTCCCACAATCTACACCCCACCTAACCCTTCCCACAATCTACACCCCAC